AAGGCAATACCGCAAACACTTCAGATGATGGAGATGCTCTATGCTGTGAAGCGTCAACTACCGTGGAAGGCAGAAAAAGATTTGCAGATATATGGCTCATTGATTCAGGAGCAACATATCACATGACCTCAAGAAGAGAATGGTTCCATCATTATGAACCTGTCTCAGGAGGATCTGTCTATAGTTGCAATGATCATGCCTTAGATATCGTTGGCGTGGGAACCATCAAATTGAAGATGTATGATGGAACAATTAAAGTTGTTCGAGATGTGCGGCACGTGAAAGGCCTGAAGAAAAATTTATTATCCTACGGATTGTTGGATAATAATGCAATCAAGATTGAAACACAGAAAGGAATCATGAAGGTATTCCGTGGAGCGCTTGTGGTGCTGAAAGGCGAAAAGATAGCTGCAAACTTGTACATATTGAAGGGAGAGACTTTGCTAGAAGCAGAAGCCTCTGTTGCCTCATGTAGTTCAGATTCTGCAATGCTATGGCATCAGAAACTTGGACACATGTCAGAACAAGGAATGAAAGTCCTTGTGGAGCAAAAATTACTTCCAGGCTTAACAAAGGTATCACTTACTTTGTGTGAGCACTGCATAACAAGTAAGCAGCACCGGTTGAAATTCCACACATCAAATTCTAGAGGCAAAAGTGTTCTAGAATTGGTTCACTCTGACGTATGGCAAGCACCAGTCACATCCCTAGGCGGAGCAAAATACTTTGTCTCATTTATTGACGACTACTCCAGGAGATGTTGGGTGTACCCTATTAAGAAGAAGTCAGATGTGTTTGCAACTTTCAAAAACTTCAAAGCGCGGGTGGAACTTGATTCTGGAAATAAGATCAAGTTTTTCAGAACAGATAATGGAGGAGAATACACAAGCGAAGAATTTGATGACTTTTGCAAGAGAGAATGCATCAAAAGACAGTTCACAGTGGCGAACACTCCTCAACAAAATGGAGTGGAAGAGCGGATGAACAGAACCTTGTTAGAAAGAACACGAGCAATGTTGAGGGATGCAGGCCTAGAAAAATCATTCTGGGCAGAAGCAGTCAATACCGCTTGTTATTTGGTGAATCGAGCTCCATTAACTGCAATAGAGCTGAAGACACCAATGGAGGCGTTGACTGGTAAACCAGCTGATTATTCAAACCTCCATGTATTTGGAAGTATTGTGTACGTGATGTACAACTCCCAAGAAATCTCAAAGCTGGATCCAAAATCCAGGAAATACAAATTCTTGGGGTATGCTGATGGAGTCAAGGGGTATCGCTTGTGGGATCCCACTGCCCGCAAAGTGATCATCAGCAGGGATGTTATCTTTGTAGAAGATAAACTACAAAGAAAATAAGACAATGATAGCACTGAAAAGTCAGAGACTACACAGATACATGTGGAAAAGGAGGTTGAACAAGGAGACTCTTCTGAAGCAGAACCAGCACATGATGAACAAGAACCAGAGAGTTCTGAAGCTCCAACAACTCGTCAATCAGATCGTATGAGAAGGCGTCCCAATTGGCACTCAGATTATGTTATAGAAGGTAATATTGCATACTGCCTTTTAACAGAGGACGGTGAGCCATCAACATACCAGGAGGCAATAAACAGCTCAGATGCTTCATTGTGGATGATGGCGATGCAAGAAGAAATCGAAGTCCTTCATAAAAATAATACATGGGACCTTGTGCCACTACCACAAGGAAGGAAGCCAATTGGTAACAAATGGGTCTTCAAAATCAAGCGAAATGGTGACGATCAAGTTGAGAGGTATCGTGCAAGACTGGTGGTCAAAGGATATGCTCAAAAAGAAGGTATTGATTTCAATGAAATATTTTCTCCTGTGGTTCGACTAACAACAGTTCGAGTAGTTTTGGCAATGTGTGCTACATTGAACTTACATCTAGAGCAACTAGATGTTAAAACAGCTTTTCTTCATGGAAATCTTGAAGAAGAGATTTACATGCTCCAGCCTAAAGGTTTTGAAGAAAAAGAAAAGAAGAACTTGGTTTGCAGGTTGAACAAATCTCTGTACGGTCTAAAGCAGGCGCCGAGGTGTTGGTATAAGAGATTTGATTCCTTCATTATGTGCCTTGGATACAACAGACTTAATGCAGACCCTTGTGCTTATTTTAAGATGTCTGGTGATAATGATTTTGTTATATTGCTGTTGTATGTGGATGACAAGTTGGTTGTAGGACCCAACAAAGATCATATTGAAGAATTGAAGGCACAACTGGCTAGGGAATTTGAAATGAAGGACTTGGGATCAACAAACAAGATTCTAGGGATGCAAATTCACAGAGACAAAAGTAATAGGAAGATTTGGCTTTCACAAAAGAATTACTTGAAGAAGATCTTGTCACGATTCAACATGCAAGATTGTAAGCCAATTTCTACCCCTCTTCCTATTAACTTCAAATTATCCTCCAGTATGAGTCCTAGCAGTGAAGAAGAGAGGATGGAGATGTCTCGAGTACCGTATGCATCAGCAGTGGGAAGTTTAATGTTCGCTATGATATGCACAAGACCAGACATTGCACAAGCAGTGGGAGTGATTAGTCGATACATGGCGAATCCAGGCAAAGAGCATTGGAATACAGTAAAGAGGATCCTGAGATACATCAAAGGGACCTCAAATGTTGCATTATGTTACGGAGGATCAAACTTACTAATCAATGGGTATGTAGATTCTGACTATGCAGGGGATTTGGATAAAAGCAAATCTACTACAGGATATGTGTTCAAAATTGCTGGTGGAGCTGTAAGCTGGGTTTCAAAATTGCAGTCAGTTGTGGCTACGTCAACAACAGAGGCAGAATATGTAGCAGCTACACAAGCCAGTAAAGAAGCAATTTGGTTGAAAATGCTATTGGAGGAGCTTGGGCACAATCAAGAGTTTGTCTCTTTGTTTTGTGACAGTCAAAGTGCCTTGCATCTAGCAAGGAATCCAGCATTTCATTCAAGGACAAAGCACATACGAGTTCAATACCATTTCATTCGTGAAAAGGTGGAAGAAGGGACGGTAGATATGCAGAAGATCCATACCAAAGACAATATAGCAGATTTCATGACGAAGGCAATCAACGCTGATAAATTTAGCTGGTGTCGATCCTCTTGTGGCCTGACAGAAACGTAAGCAACATGATGGTACAAGGTAGAAAGAATGGTGTGAAGATATGATTGTTCCAATCAAATCTTCAAGTGGGAGATTGTTGACTAGCACCGAAAGGTGCCTAAATTAATGCACCGAAAGGTGCATGGCCCCTTTTGTTGAAAATATAAAAAATGGGATAATTCAATTTAGTCACTAAATTTTAGGGTATTTACAAATTAGTCCTTAGGTTTCAACTATAAATATCCTAGCTCATTTAGCTTCAAAACCATCCCAAAGCATTCTAGCTTTCTTCCAATACTAGACAGATTAGAGAGTTTCTTGAGAGTTGTTTTCTCCTTTTTATCTAGAGAGAATTATCATTGTTTTCTCCTTGGTAGATCGAGAGAGGTTGTAATTCCTATTTTCTCATAGTGAAATTCTTCTACCGTTGCTCGTGGTTTTTACCCTAAATATTTTAGGGGTTTTCCACGTAAATTTTGTATCTCTTTTATCTTCATTTTTATTTTCTCAAATTATCAGTTGCGATTTTGCTCTATCCGATAGCCGTCTTCCGCAACAAATATTGACAAGTATAAGACAATATATGTTTAAAGATAACTCAATGCTCACACTCTCAATTTTTTTGTATTCGAACCCGAGACCTCAAAGAATAATAACAATTCATTTACGCTTTACTACTAAAATTGTTTGATTCATGTATTAAGATAAGGGAAGTGATTGAATTTAAATTTCATTTTAAAACAATTTACTTTTCCAAACGTAAAGACATTATACATTTATCAAACATAAATATGTTGAATGTATTTTAGAATTTAATTTTTCAACTTTAATATCCTGGTTTTGTGATATAATAAAAAATAATTAAATAAAAATCTCTAAATTATGATTTTATTTTAAATTGAATTTTAAATTTTTAAGAAAATAAACAAATCTAAGTTATTAGTAGATTCTAAATTAATCTTAACCCTTAAAATATTTTTTATATAATAAATCATCCTAATTCTATTGATCTTTGAAAGTTTTGGAAATTAGTTCTTTATAAATTCAACTCGCAACGTTTTAAAGTATATATGAATTATTTCTAACATGTTAAAATTGAATTTATGACCCAAAAAATTAATGTATTTTATAAAATCTGAATTTTCTAAAAGATGACAAATTTACTTTTCAAAAGTTTATCAGACTAATTTTTTTAATCTATGAAATTAAGAATACATAATAATATTAATTTTTTAATCTATACAATTATTAATGTATAATAAGATTAATTCTTAAATCTATAAAATTAGTAATATATAATAAAATGATCGGAATAAAATGATAGTGATAATCTACAAAATGATATAGACTGTTTTGACTTTTAAAATGACAGTAATATATACTATCATTGAGAGGAAATAAAGTAATGTAGTAAATGACAAGAAAAAAGAATTATTATAAAGAGTAAAAGGCTTAGTGACTTGAAATCTTAGTTCTTAAATGTTACAAGAATTTACATTTTATAGGTTAAATATTTTTCTTAATAAATTAAGTCATTATATTTCTAAAATTATAATTATTGCATTTGTTTTAAAACTATTTCTATAAACTGGAATGGTATATAATAAGTGTATCAAATACAAACCAGAGTTATACTGAAAAACAGAATCCATCCACTATATTTATTTTCCTAAAATAAAAAAGAAGATATAATTACAATCCTCAAAGAAATTTTGAGGCTTTAGAGAGTGTTTGGTTCATCTCCAAATCTTACCAATCAAAATCACATTCTCAATTTTCTATTATACTATAAACAAGGAAAATTTATTACCATGAAAAGAGCTAAGTGTAATCTACTATCTTTCCCTTTTTTCCAGAATTTAATCTTCTCTTTCTTTGTTTCTACAATTTCAAAGTGGAAGGGAAACAATAAATAAAATAACCTAAGTTCGTAAGATTTAATTTTTACCTAGCTCTCCTTTGATGTTGTCGCATCTTGTTTTCTTTTACGAGGAGCTCGGCATAGAGAAGCTCGTTCCAGGAATCCGGGACGCCAGGAAGGCACCAATGGCTGCAGTCCTGGTATTTTAGAGGCGCTTTTTTTTCGTCCTCACTCAGTTGCTGCTTTGGGTGCTTCCGGTAAACTGAAGGGTGGCCATCCTTTCGGAAATCAGTCAACCGAGTAATGTTAAGGTAGGTGACGTGCGTTTTCATCCCCTTCAGCACCGACTCTAACACCAACATCTTTAACGGATATGCCGTTAAGTATGTCTCGTTCTTGATCGGCTCGGTTTCGCTATCACATGCTCCTCCTGAATTCCACTGCCCCCCACTGAAGAAAGATTCAAGCAACCATAAAACAATTAGTAAATGCCTGCATAATTCTCAATGTGCTACAAGGTAGAAACTTGTTATCCTGCTGGCTTATTCAATCTCAAAACTGGATGGCATATGAAGGAATAAATAGTATCGGCAAAATCTTTCCCTTTTACCTGAAATGAGAAGCAGAATAACCACGGAAGAACACCATGGTCTTCGTTGGATTTACACTGGCATCAATCCATCTAGCCCACGTTGTTAACGCTTTCCTAAACGCCTTTAGAACATTGAGTTCATCATAAACATGACTGCCTTCTTGGTAATAATCTTTCCTGTTGTTTATCACGGAAATAATTGTTAAAACCAACTGGTTACAATAACAGCAATAAAAGTGAAAAGGAAAAAAAAATATAATCAACCAACCCTTTGGAAGTTTTCTCATGAGTCCACCAATGCCCAGTATTGAAGATGAGGATATCAGCCGATTTATATTGATCAGACGATTTTCCAACAAGATCAAGCCGCAATGTCTCCTTCTTCGCTCCGTTTTTGTCCAGCATTTCCCATTCTCGGACCAAGAACGGAGATACAAAGAACTCCAAAGTGCAGTTATAATCCTATTAATCATCAAAACCACAGTCCCGAAAAGGTAAATAAGTAATGTTTCATCAAGTTTCAAGGATAGAATTGAGCAATCTTATTGAATTTCATCAATAGGAAATATGAAAACCTACTTTGAATATGAACGAATACGAAGCTTCCCCTCGAAAGTAGCTTCTTCCATGAGCTTCATAAACATTTTTTGGTGTTTTCGCTGCATTTCTCAGAATGCAAACTAGAGATACCCACATGTTCCTATTCAGTGAGTCACCGACAAAAACGAGACGCTTGCCTCTCAATAACTCCAACATGTGACCACCATTCAATCTTCAAAAACAACCAGTTCTTTTGTGTTAGCTTAATTAAAAAAGTAAACAAATTCCATGTAGCTTCTAAGTGCAGGATCAATTGCATGTAAATTCCCAATAAGCTAAATTCAAAGATCAAGATATACCCAGAAATTGATAAATTAATCTAATCAATAGTTGAACTGAAGAGAAGTTGAAAAATACCTTGGCAAGGTGCAGCCTTTAGGCTTCCATTTCAGTTTCTGATAATCTTTATCAGGCCTTCCATTGATAATACAACTAAACTGTTCATCAATAAACGAACAAGACCCTGGTTTGTAAAGCGGATACGAATTATCCTTCACCCATCCTCCATCAAACAAATCGCAATTCATCAAAGATTCAATCAAACTTTCAATCCCCTGTTTAGCTGACAGCCCTGAAGCGGTGTAGTTTGATGCCACTACTTTTTGAGCTGCACTTTTCTCAGATTTGGCCGGAGAATTACGGCTCATATTAGCGAGCACCGGAGTTTTTTCAGTCACTGTTGCAGTCTGATTAACCTTGTCGGAAGAATCAGATTTGGCCGGAGAATTTCTACTCAGGTTAGATACCGCTACCGCCAGAGTTGTTTCAGTGACTGTTGTAGTCTGATTAACCTGCTGGTCTTCATCGGAATTCTCTTTCTTCTCGGTCTGATGGCTTGTGATGGGTGGATTTCCATTAACATTTGGAGAAGAAGCTTTGGTCTGATTTGCATGCAAAACTGAACTTTGGGTTTTGTTTGTACTTGTATTGGGAGGCAAAAAAGTTGTGCTTCTCGAACTAGGGAGTAGATTGGTTTCGTTCAAAGATCTGGTACGATTAATAGAGGTGAAGTTAATGCTTTGTTGTTGAAGTGGAGAAGAAGTGTTGGGAAAAAAGAAATTAAAGAGGGAAGGGAATTGAGATCTTTGAGAGCTGGCAGTTGTGGAAGTGGATGAACTAGCAGAAAAGATGCTGGAAACCCAGGGAGAAGAAGAGTTTGAAGACGGGCAAAAGGCTAAGAAGACAGTGAAACCGACGAAGGCAAACACGAAGAAAGCCACGGTTCTTCTGGTTTTGATGATCGAAAAGAGGTTCTTAAAGTCTGTAGCGACGGTTGTTCCGCCATTGATAGGCATGTACTTTGCTATATCCGCCATGGGATTGAAAGGCCAATGCGTGACGGAAAAATTCAGGAAAGTGAAGGGGGAAATGGTGTTTGGGGAGAGAGAAAATGTGGGAAATGGGGTATGAGTTTTCAAAAGTGAAAAACACTGTACAGTTCAGGAGGAAGGGAAAGTTGTGAATATAGAGAGTGAGAGGACATTTATGAGAGACAGAAGCGGAAGCCCATAGACACAGAAAAAGAAAAATGAAAAAACAAAAGCTAAAAGAAAAGGAAGAATATATTGTTAAAAGGGCTCCGTTTTTGCATACAATTAACGGTTCTGCCATTGAAGAAGTTATTTTTGTCAATGACCTATCTTTTTATCTTGGATAAACTACTTAAATGGTCCCTTTAATTTCACAAATATTCATTTTTATCATTAAATTTAGAAAATTAATATTTTGACATCTGTGTGGGATGTTAAATGACATTAAATTAATTATGTGGTATGGTAATTCAAGGAATAATTTTTTAATTTGAAGCATCAAATTTAAATAAATATTAATTTTATCTTTAAATTTTCAATAAAATATTAATTTACTAAAAGCATACTCATTTGTTAATGATTTTAAAATTATTTTAAAATTCATTGAATTTTTCTAAATAATTATCTTAATCTATATTTCTTTAATTTTTTTCTTAATCATAATTTTTCTTAATTTAATGATATTTGACTAAGTCTAGTATCATATAATATTATAAAATTAAATAATTAGATGTTAAATGATAATATAATAAAATTCATTAAGCTACTTAATCATCTTAAACTATTATAGTTTAAAAGAATGATTACAATAAAAAAATATTTAAATCTTTCGATTTTTTTAATTTTACACCGTACTTTTAAGTTTGTTTTTCTTGTAAGATACAATGTCCAATCCTAAACATGTCCTCCTTTTACTCTTACCATAAAAATAATATTTTTTTATTTAATAAAAAATATTATGTTTTAAAATAAATATTCTAAATTTAAATTTACATAAAACAAAATAATATAAATATATTTAATGCGATTTTGGAAAAAGAAAACGATTTTAATGCGATTTTCCAACTCTTATCCGTTCTTTTTAAAATAAGCACCAAATTGGGGCCCACTATAACTGTTTTCCTTTATTTATTTATCTTTTATGTTATTTTTGAAGATCATTTATTTTTGAGTAAACTAACAATTTAATCATTGATATAATTTATAAATATTAAGAGATTGAATTTATTAAATAATTTAGAATTAAGACCAGATTAAAATAATGCAAAAATATTGAGGACCATAATGTGTTATTATACCAATTAAGAAAATTATCTTCCCGTCAAAGTGAGTAAAATGAAAATTTTAGTAATTGGGTAGCTAAAACAAAATTACAGCAGTAGTTAGATGAGTAGAGCTCCTTTTTCTGTTGAAAATTTAGTGAGAAGAATAATGTCTTCTACCGTATGTGTCAACATGTACGGCCGCTTGATAAGAAAAAAACATTAATACGTACAAAGTGTTGAAATGGAAAGCAGGACCGACAGCCGAAGCTAAGCTGAGCAGATGAGGGCGTGACGCGTTTTTCATTGGCGGGCCCATGTCACAGACAAGGAGGCTCTTTGTCTTACAAATAAATAATAATGGTCACCGCCCAAAACCAGCTGTGCTTGCACCTGCGCCTTTGTCGTTTTGAGGGGTTGAACTTCAAGGATGTAAGTGTTTTAGAGCCAAGTGTCTTACGCTTTTGCATTTGATAAGCCGGCCGGATCTATGTCTCAGCTTTCCTATTTGCCTTTCTTCTACCTGAAAAACAAATTTCAAATTTATCACAAATGCATTATAATTAATTTTATATTAGATTTAAATAAAATAATATGTTTCAAGTCAGAGCCACTGAAACCAATTAAGCAATTATTAAATTTGAATTGAATGAAAGTGATTTATTTATTTATTTTTATGTTAATTGTGAATAGGGATGGCAACGGGTCGGGTTTGGGCCGGGTATTGGTCCCCCGTCCCCGTTTAAAAAATTCATACTCGTCCCCGCTTAAAAAATCGCGGGGATTTAAACGGGGATCCCCATCGGGTAATCAGGGAAACGGGTATTCCCGTTTAGCATAAACAGTTATTTAAACGGGTATCGGGCCGGGTATCGGGCCGAGTATATATATTTTTAAATTAAATATATAAATATTATATATATTTTTTAATTTAAATTAAATTTATTAATATTATATATATAATAATTATTATTTTTTATATTTATCGGGCCGAGTATCGGGCTGGGTAATCGGGGCGAGGATTATCAAATCCGTCCCCGTTTAGCATAAACGATTTTTTCCCATCCCCGTTTAATTCGATTTTCAAATTTCTCCGTCGGGTTCGAGTTTTTTTGCCATCCCTAATTGTGAAAGCTTCTCATGAAATGCTTCCACCATCAGGGATATGCGTGAAGGGTGTAACAGATGATGAATGAAACGTTTAGGTTTAGTGATGGATCAAAAAATATTTTTTTAGGTATATATGTTAACGATATAAATTTTTTAAATAGGATGAATACAAATAAAATTTCAGAGTAAGTATCCTACGTAAAATAAGTAACTAATTGAAGAAAAACTACTAGATACGTAAAATTTCAAGATAAATACTATCAATTAAATAATTAATTAATTAAAAAATTTTCTAAGTGTGCATATATCAACCCTCACTAATATGTGGCTCCGTGGGTAAATGGAAAAGTGAATCAATTGGTGGGAGAGTGCACACAACTCTTAACATGAAAAAACCAATAGAAGCGAGGAAACAGACGAAAGAATTGTTTTCATCGCCCATCGATTATTAATAAATTACTGCTATTTCTTACTCTTACTGAACCAAATCAAATCATTAAACAAACACATATAATAATTGAACGTTTAAAACATAAATGCGAGAAAATATAAAGCATCAAATAAATAGTTTACCAAAAATTTACCTAACTGTCCTATTTTTTAATTCTTTAAATTTTAAAAATATATCTTAAAAAACACGCCATAATTCTGAAGTTATTTGCTAAAATTTCAATCTTGCCCGAACAGTTTAAATATTTCATTTTTAGTAGATATCTTGATGTTGAGAGTTTGGAATTTTAATTTTCATATATTCAATTTGAGTTTGGAGATAAAAGGAATAAATTTCTAAGATGGAGTGTTTTTTTTATTAAACTAAGGTGATTATAAAATAGTATGTGTTTTAAATACTCTCAACCATTTGACAATGAACGTTCAATCACCCTGTTGTAGTAATTGGTGCTCGAATCCGTGACCTCTAGGAACAACTACGATTCTTTTAACCATTGAGGTAAGATAATTATGATAAAATGTTAATTCAAATCTTTTAGTTTTAGATTATCTTTTTAAAGAAATACGTTCTCCTTATTATGTACTTATGAAAAAAAATAAGGATAAATTACACCATCCATCACTAAACTATACACTATCTCCTATTTTCCTCACCCAACTTTCGATTTTTCTATTTTGCTCACTTAACTTTGCACATTGAATCATTTTGCTCACTCTGCCATTAACTATTTAAAGGCGTTATGACGTGGAACGAGCATCAAAACAACTTCAATTTGAAAAATTCAAATATACACCAAAATGACGTCGTTTCGAATCCTATATTGAAAGTTCGGTGAGTAAAATAGGAGAGGGAGTAAACTTCAGTGAGAAATTTTGCAACTTACCCTTTTTCCTTTTCTTCTTCATTTTCTATCCGCCGGCCACCATGTCATTTTCATTCCGGCCACCATCCCAAATTTCATGGGTCGATTCATCTCGACCACCTGAGTCCGAATATTGTGGTTATTTCACCGAAAAATTCCCAAAACCTGTGAATCTCGACTAAAATGTTTCGACTTCCTCAATTTCAATATCAAATTCGTGGACTTCAGAGAAACTTCTGACAAAATGGAGGTCGGATTTGAAATCACGATGTCGAGGTGAAGCGACCCATAAAATTTGGGACTGAACGACTGTCATCTACAACGGTCGACGGTGGCCGGCCACCTTTTGTTTTTTTTATTTTCTCAATTATTTTATATTAAAAATAATAATAAAAGTGACATATCATCAAGTCATTAAAGAGAAAACGAGAGAGAGAGCAAAATGATTCAATCCGTAAGTTCAGTGAGCTAAATAGAAAAATTGAAAGTTGGGGGAAAAAATAAGGGAGAGAGTATAGTTCGGTGAGGAACGGTGTAATGTTTATAGTATACCAATACAAGTAAATTATTCTAAAATCTAAGTTCTCAATCATGCTTTTTAATATGACATAATTATTAATTTATTTTAAATGTAAATTAAATGTGGATTCGGCTACAATCCGAGCGTGGAGTGGGTGCTATACTTTCTATTTTGTTTTAAGATTTTATTATTTCCAATCACCAAATAATTATCCATTTTACTCCTTTCAGAATATTAATTCATGTTTTGATGCTCTATTCATTAAGTAATGTTTTAACTAACATTAAATTAGTATTTATGAAGGATGTAGATTAAAATGATAAAATTCGCATAATATACACACCTTAGTAAATAATATTTTTCTTCCTATAAATTTTGAATTCGAACAATTAATCTATAAAATGTATATATTATCAATAAGCTAAGAACATATTTAATCGAAGAATACTACATTATAATTATTTTAATCTATTCAAAAAATTATTTTATATTATTTTTTATATATTCATATATTTATATTATATTTACATTATTTTTAGTTGAATAATAATTTATTATAAATGATATAAGGTCTAACCATAATAATTGAAAAGGTTGTAGTAAAAATCATAATTTTTTATGACGGCCTCAAAATAATTAGGGTAAACTATTGGTCCCTTTCCTTTCATATTTGTACAATTTTGAACATTAAGTTCAAAAAATTTAAATTTTGATAAGTTACATTATCGATTTATTAGGTGTTGGTCACATACGTTATTGGTTGTTACATTTTGGTTATTGAGGTGTTAACTCCCGCTAGTTTAATAATGTGATACATTAGTCAAAATGTGTTAAAGTTTAGTTTTACCCATCCATAAACTTTAGATAGAATACTAATTTGCCCTTAAACTTTAGATAGAGTATCATTCTGACCTAAAACTATAGA